CACACACACACACAGAGAGAGAGAGAGATAAATGAAAGTCACTCTTCACTGTGTCCTCACACGTCATTCTGGCTGATATCACACTCTCTGTCTCCTCAGAGAGTAACTCTGCAGTAACGACTGGCACTATGAGCCGTAAGCTCTCTCTGGCCTCATCTCTTGACCTGGTCAAACCCACCACTGACCTCTTCCGTCACAGCATTGTGCCGCGGCTGCGTCGCCGTGACAACCACAGAGTCTCCGCCTCCTGCCTCCAGCTCCCATCCCACACCTGTGACGAAGACCACGCCCCCTCCACCAAACACAAACTCAGGTTCCCTTATGACCATATTTAATTCATCCTTATCATTGATTAATTACATTGACACTACCCAAATGCCAAATGCAAGTAAAACTGGCTTTGGTGAGTAAAATATTAATTTGTAAATGACAGCATGGTTTGCATGCATGGAATGTGTTGAATTGTAGTTAAACAGCAATGATTAGACCTTTATTTGAATGCACAGAGTTATCTGTGTCACCAACAATGCATTATAATATAATATAATATAATATGCAAATACCAATCATGAAGGCAGTTATGTTGTTAATCTCAGATTTCTGTGGCCACGACAAAACTAAGCCTTTAGTGGCTAAGCCTTTAACCAACCTTATGTTGGTTTCAAACCCCTATTCAAGACGGTCTTAATTAGCATATTCTAATGAATTCTGTCATCCAAACTAAAATTCAATATAATAACACAATAACTAATAATAGTTAAACAATTAAGTGTTCAACCGAGTGCATAAGACGGGAGTACTTTTGTAATGTAATGTAATGTGTTTGACACTTGTTTTATTGCATTTACTTTCAAAAGTTTATTCTGAAGGTATTTGCTTTATAAAAAATTTAAAAAAAATCCCCCAAAAACACTCATTTGAGAAAAACGTGTGACTACATGCCCCGGTCTGCCCTATAAAAGTACAGGTAGGCCTAGAGTTATACCATGCGTTAATTTTCCTCTGCCTCTCATATTCTTTCGTCATTTTAAGAGCAACATGTCTCAGCTCACACTGTGGATTCTTCCATTTGAACGCGGCGTCTTGCGCAACTGGTTAAGCGCAGCTAAACGGGGCGTCGGCGGATCAAGCCGGCACAGGTCTCTCTCTCTCTCTCTCTCTCTCTCTCTCTCTCTC